ATTTACTGTATCTTATCTACACGGGGCACATGTCTATCTATCGGGGAGTATGTCTTGCAAGTTACACGTTTATCTTTGAACACGATCAACCGGAAGCCTCGAAAGTGGGCCATTTAACACGTTCAACATCGTCAAAGGCTGGGGAATCCTGGATTTTTCTTTTTGCTCAAAGATCACGTGAATCAGTTAGGTTATTCTCGTTTCTTCGTTTCGGCGGATCGAATCACGTTTCTTATTTCATTCAGACGAAATTTCGATAATTGGCGAAGCACTGACACAAGACAACTTTGTTATAATAAATATATTAACTCTATAGAAAGATCAGGCAATTTTCGTTCGAGCACCTTAAATATCTCGCATCCTGTCGATTTGTAGGAAATTAATTTTAATAAATGCTCAAAGTGATGCCCATCAACATCGATATATTTTTGCATTAATTCCTCTATCCTAATTATTTTAAATAGCTCGATGACCTTGAAATTTTCGAAGGATCGGAGAGGTTGTCTCGATGTTGAACGTGTTACACGTCTGTTCTAGCGAGCGCAAACGAGACCCTTCGATCTATTGAACGTGGTAAGCACCGATAACGATTTCTTGCATGCTTTTCGGGGGGATCGGTTCAAGCGAGGATTGGCCATGCGTTGTAGTGGAAGATCGTCCCAGAAAATTATATTGTCGAAGCCGATATCTCGTTTGTATATTTATATATCATTGTAATTGTATATTCTGAAACGGTGTTTTGAGTCTCGAAAGAGAGAGAGAGAGAGAGAGAGAGAGAGAGAGAAAGAGAGGGGGGAGATCGATACGGGAGAGGGCGTGAATAAGAAAGAAGTCTCATGCTGTATGCAGAAAAAAAGTTCAGACCCTACGCGCAGAATTTGTCTCCCTCGAAGAAATATATTCTGAGAGATTTCATTTCCGGTTCGATTCAATTCTGATTCAATTCTGCGCACAGGGAACGATGGTGAAGAATTCAACTTGGAACCTGCATGGTGTCCTCGAGCGTCAAGGAGGAAGTATTATGTTGTAGATACTGGACGTCGAAACCGAAATACTTAAAATGTTTTTAGGCACTTTTTATGTTCGATTAGGGATTCGTTGCAGCTAGAATGGTGTCTATTGGAATATTAGAATGATTAAATATTACAATATTACAATATCAATATATCGGAATATTAGAGAATCAGAATATCAGAATATGAGTATATCAGAATGGTGTCTTTATGGTGATAGTAAACTATTTCAGTTAAAAGTATGTAATTTCAATTGAACCAAATAATAATTGACTCAGCTCAAATCGAATGAATATGAATCGATATGTTCTGATAGTACCAAAGTCAGAAAAAGTGATCGATGTCACTAATTATAACATACATGCTATTTCCTTGCCTAGGATATTTTCACAGAAATTAGAAAAAGTTACAATATATTTTATCACTTTCTCTCCAAAGTACATGTCACTGATGATAATTACTTCGGTTTCGACTGGTCCCGCGTGGAAGTAAGAAAAATATTATAGAAAAAGTTGAGAAAAATATTAGGGTGGGGGGGGGGGGTGGTACCAAATGGGAAACAGTAAAAGTATGTTGCTTACCGTACCGAAGAGAACAATGGAGGTAGGGGTGTTAAACAAAAGACACGTTTGTTACAGAGACCTCTGATACCGATGTCTGTTACTGTTGTTGTTATTTGTTGATGTTGTAATTGTTGTTCTTAACTGTTGTAACGTAGGATGGGTGGTGTTTGTTAAAAATGGTCGTTGTGCTGGTGTCCATTCTTTATTTATTTATTTTTCGTGTTTTCATTTCTCGGTGGTGTTCGATCGGTTCTCATTCACTACACGTTTCCATTTCTTCGTTTATCCGTTTCATTATTATTTCTCTCTGTTAATTCTCCCGTCACAGTGGGTTCCGTTCACTGTCTATTTACATTTCGTGAACCACCAAAAAATTGAAAATCACTGGCTGGGACTAACTTCGACGGGGGTTCAGGGGGGAGGGTAAGAAAAAACAGGATACCACCAAAAAATTGTATACAGACAGACACATAACAGTCAATTACGTGGCGAGGGGGTGGTGGTGAGTGGTAGTGTGGTTTTTTTGGAGAATTTATGTTACGTGGCTGAGAGAAATTTAAAATAAAAAATAAAATAAAACAATTAATTATATTTTCAATTAAATTATTTACTGACAAAAAATTGTCTTTTTTTCCACGGGTTTTCTCGCTTGGAAACGCTGAATCGGTTCCAACGAGAGCACTTGTACGCATTTTCCTTTCGATTAACTTCCACGCTTCCTGCGAGGATTCTTCTCTACAAATATTATATCTCATTGTTTCCTTTAAGTCACTCGAGATTCTTGTAAAGTCAACGGAAATATTGTCGAAGAGGCTTCGATCGAAATGCTAGAATCGGTGCAAAGAAGCGAAAGACTCGTTATAATATTGTTCCCGAGAGGCTCATCGTTTTTGTTGAATTGGTATTATACAATTCAGATCGATACGAGTATTCGTAAAAAAAAAAACTTAAGGTCTGATCATTCATACAAGTATGATGATTCAAATTCGAGAAATAATTGAGACACTCTGTATAATTTTCTATTTATTTTTATGGTAAATTGCATCGATTCTAGGCATTTGAATTCCCTCAATTGGCGAAGCCTCTCTTCTGTTTGTTGATGTCTTGTAGTGTCGCTGTCTGTTTGATCGTGTCTTGCTCTGGGCTCCACGTCGATCTCGCAGCTCGTCGAGGATTCACGAATCACCGATATTTTTTTTTTCTTTAAACCGTCAGCTTTTTCTTTTCTTATTCTTTGTTTCACACCAGCGATCCTCGATTGCCAATTAGATCGGTGATTCGTGAATTCACGACGAGCCACGAAGCAATTGGGGTATCGGTTTTGTATAAAGGGCTGAATAGAATTACAGATAGCGACAGATACACATCAGCAAGTACCTATTACAGGCAGACAGTCGTATGTAACATCGACGGGTAAGCGTGAATCTCGTGGGGATCTCACTCGTTCTCTGATGTATTCGTTTCTTCCTTCTTTCTGATCGAAATTAGGGTGCGTTTCGTTCATTTGGATGGTCGATTTTATCGTGAATTTATTTTACCTTCTTCAGGGTAACATTTCCTATTTAAGGTATGATCATTTCTGATGATTTTCTCGAAATATAATTTATTATCAGCGCTCCTGTATATCGGCAATAATTTGGTTAAATGAATTGGAGAAGGATTTTCTATTAATAATGCCACGTTAGAACGATTTTACACATTATATTTCACACTACCCTTTATTATTTTATCCTGTATAATTTTACACTTATTTTTTTTACACATTACAGGATCTAATAATCATTCAGATATCAATAGAAATTTTAAGAAATTAAATTTTCCCTCATATTCCTCAATTGAAGATATAGGATTTACATTACTATTATTAAATTTGTTTCCTTCAGTTAGTATAAATCCTTATATATTAAGTGATCCAGGTAATTTTATTATAGCAATCCCCATATAGTCACCCCTGAACAAAATAAAACCATAATGATCTTTTCCATTTTCATACACTACTTTACAAATTATCCCAAATAAATTAGGTGGAGTAATTAGAATATTAATATCAATTTTATTATTTTCAAAGAGCGACGATCATTTACGTTTTCATTCTCCATTCTGTAAGCTTTCAAGAGGAAGAAAACCATATCATCGTGACGACAGAGATTCTCACGAAATTTCAAACACTTGCATTTAGTGGGTAGTGGTGGGGGTAAGTTGAATTCAGGGGAAATTCTCAGGGTTTATTTTAATATATAGAGAGACAGAGATAGAGACAACAGTAACACGCAGTGTCGGCAGTTGCGTTGCTTTCTACATTCAGACTCACTCACACACAAATTTCTTCCACCAACCAGCGCGTCTACATGAATTTCGCTAGACGGGAAAAGAGAAACACATAGAGTTCACACGTTATATATGATGTGGTGTCAGTCAGTGAGAAATTAATCGCGGTATTTTTCTTTTATTATTATCGTCGAGGCGGTTCTCTTCTGTTGGAAATAGTTGGAGGTAACAAACTGCTTCAAAAGTGTTTGATTTAAATGTCTGACGAGGAGTTTGGATAGGTCAAGTCTAGTTTGATCATGGCGGTCAAACTGAAGGTCGGTTTCGAACAGTCTGATACGAGATTGAAGACTTTTATGCAAATAAAAATTTTGTCCGGATACGTTTGAAGTTTGGAATGTTATCGGATTGTTTGGAGTTTGAATTTTTATCAGACTGTTCGAAAGTGACCTTCAGTTTGAAATCTTGATCATGACCAAACTCGGCTTGAACTGTTTAAACTTGTCGTCGGATGTTTAAACGCATTTGGAGCGGATTGATTACCGATCACTAGTTGAAACAGTTGAGCCAGGGTGCAAGCCGATTGGCGACACTTCCATCAAGAACGTCGACGTTCAAACGCGTCGTGCAAAGCACAATTTCTTATTTTTTTTCTTTTGATCACAGGGACCATTTCTCGACACGGAAAAATATGGAGTGACAGTGGACGATAAGGCCTGAACGACCGCTTCATTCACGGAAAATATTAATTTATTACTAATAATATTGAAATAATTTTTCTAATGGAAAAGTAATTTCTAAATGGAATAATAATTTTTCTAATGAAAAAATAAATTCTAATGGAAAAATAATTTCTAAATACTGCAGATCCGATAATGATTGTTTATCAGAGATGAATAATAAATGAACAAGTCCAACAGAAAAATGTTACTGTAAAACAGTACCAAAAATGGTACCGTTGAATTTATACACGAATCGAGATCTATTGTAGTTCATTTCGGATTGTCGTGGTCTGAATCGGTCGTTCGAAATCTCTGGCAGGGTGTCATCGAATAATGACACAGACACATAGAACACTTAAGACAATGACGATTAATTGGCAGTGTCATTAGCTTTACCGAAAAGTGTTATCGACGCAGGTCTATGGGTTACTCACCGACGATAATGGCCAACACGATTAGCGCGATGACGCCCATAATGATCATCATCTGTGAAGAAAAAGAGAAGAGAATTATTAATATCGCGAATCGATAATTCTAGTTCAGGAATCTTCGACGAAGTTGAAACATGCTTCCAATTTTGCAACCTTATCATTAGTATTGGTCTAAGTGGAGTTTGTTAATAAATGATGAATATAAAGGTTAATTAAAAAATACTGCTACATGAATTTCATATTCTGAAAATCAATATCTATTTCGAAACAATTCCTTTTTATGAAGGAATTTTGTTTTAAATATAAAACGTTTATAATTGACATATGTGATATAGTTCAGTAAGCATTTCTTAAGGACTCTTTAAAATGACTGAAGAAAAATTGCACATAAAACGTCGCGTAAAAAAATTGCATACAAAATATTGGTCCTCGATGGATTAAGCATTACATTTGAATTTTTGTTTTATTATAGCTAGGAGACACTCGAAATAATTACCATAGAATCAATCGTCTCACCTTCAGATTTTGTAGCCAGAACTTCCTCTTCAGTTTTCCCGCCTGTTGTTCAAATTGTGACGCTCCCTGTTGAAGCGCATCTGGAAAGAATTAAATCACGATGTATCAGTTTCGAAATTCTTTCCACTTTAAATTAATAGATTTATTTTTTAGGACTTTAAAATAAATTTAAATAACGAGCAGTTAAAACGATAAACTTTTTCATTTTGGAAGCAACAACTTAGTGTCGAAACTTTTAAATAAGTTCTGATTTTAACAGAAATTACTCGTAATATATTTAAGAACAATTAAATCGTAGATTTCCGATTCGAAGAATTGCATTATTTGAAGACTGGGGTCTCTCGGTGCAAGTCACGAAACGCCCACGATGTCGGCCGCCTTTTGTAATGAAGGAACAAAATGGGAGGGACAATTACGACGACGACGACGACACGGTACTTCCCTAACGAGTTCCAACATCCCACGAGATTGCATTGTGCGTTTCTTCAGAGAGGCGAGCGGGTCACATTCGAAGTCAGCTTGAGAAAGATTCTTTGTATCATCGCGAGGATCAATAGAAGCTCAAAAGATTATATTAATCAGTCATCTAAAGCCTTGTTTTCTCCGATGAAAAATTTAAGGGGGAACATCACTGTGATAACCAGGAAAATAAGCTCTTTTAAAGAATATTTTTTTATTACCTAGTTTTAGTACAATGTCTTCAGAGATTAAAAAAAAACATGCATAAATTTTAATATACGATTAGTCTTCTAGATCCTTTACAAAAAATATAGGACGCTGGCGGAATGTGTAATTTCGGAACAACAAATATAAAATCTAATGTAACTTATAAATTTTTATAACCTAGAGTAGTTTCCGTTACACGTACGGATTTTGAAAAAAAAATTTTTGTGAAAATTTCGTTTCTTCAGAAATATCCGTAGGATTGCAAAATTGCTTAAGGAAATTGTTAGTTAAATTCTACTTCTACGTCATTCTTTCCAACGTTTAGTTGGAGTGGGGCCGTAGTGAAACTCAGGGAATGGTCAGACTGCAGGGGAAAAGGATCGTCAGCGGTCAGACACAGGTAACACCCGCCATCGATTCGCGGAGGGTCACAAAGTGAATCGATATCACGAACGTACTTTAACGGCAATTGATACTGAAATTTCGGTTTTTCCAAATGTGAATTTTTATATGCTTGTAATGCTTCTACTTACTGATCTTAAAAACATTATAAAATAATGACCTCCAATTCGATGTGTTTTGCGTCAAACATGCAAAACATTATTTTCCAAAAGTTCTTAAAAATGTATCCCCCGCTATAAGGCATAGAGAACAACAAATAATCGTCACCCAAAAAAAGCCCATGTCAAAGCAATAATATTAAAAAATAATTATTAAAAAATTTCGTATCCCATCGATCGATCCCTCACCTGCTCGATCGTCCAGCTCGGACAGCTTCTGATCACGCTCCAGGACCTTCTCGACGTTTGTTTTCATGATGTCGACGACCTCGTCAACCTGCGCCTGCGTCGCCTGCAGCCGTTTCTGCGCCGCGGTCTGTTGAGGCGTTCTTGGTCCCCCGACGATCTCACCGGAAGCCGCGCCTGGTGCCGCGCCTGCAGCAGCATCCGGTGCTAGACCGCCCTCGGTGGCCCTGGAAAACAACAGAGATCATCGTGGTAACGTCCTGGAATCGTATTTCCGTTCGGGGAAATGAAAACTTTTCACGATATCAAATCCGATCCGTCGTTCATTTCTTCTTGATCTATACAGCGTGGTATGTAACTGGGTGGTACATCCGTTAGGGTGTGATTCTATGTGAAAAAATAAGTCGAAAATATAGAATACAATTTTTTTATTCGAGACTTCGTTTTCGAGAAATTCGACTTTGAAGATTTGTCGGATATCTACAATTCCCAAGAGTAATCGTAGTAGGAATTTCGAAAGATTTTCACTGAATATTTAATCCTTTATTGATCCAGAATGCAAATGGATTTTTTTTCTTCCATCGTCAGTGGTCCAATCCCTGGTAGAAGGGAATTTGAACGGTGAATAGGAGGAAATGCAGTCGCATAATGGCCACCCGCGATGCATACGTTGGAAGGAGGATTAAAAGCGAATGGGAAATCTTCGAGCGAGTTTCCACGAGGAGATTTCCGTAAGCATCCATTCAACGCTGGTTCGAACCTCAGGGACGACTAATCTGATCGCTCCTCACCTTTTTTCTTTGCTTCCCTCGTTTCGATCCACTCGCCAGACGAATTCCGTTTTTCCTACGTGGAGAATGTCGACGGAAATTCGTTACCGATAGGGATCGTCGTCTTGGAATCGTGAAAAGAATTTTTTCAATCTTGTCTAACTTATTCAGGGACATTCTACTTAGACAGAACGATGAAATATTCCATATAAAATGTACACATGAAAGATTCTTTGCGTAGAAAGTATCATTAGATCGTAGGTAATTTCCTTTGGTAAGAAAATTGTTAGCTAATACCGATCCAACGTTGTCTGACTTATTCAGGGATATTCTACTTGCCAAAACAATAATCTTAATAAAATCTGGTTTGACTTGTCCAGAAACAATCTACTTAGGGAAGTTTCCAAAAATAAGTTCCTATGCCAAACGAAATTTAAATACGAAAACTTCATCCCAATTAAATACCATTCCACTTATATCACAATTAATCTCAATCCAATCTGGTCTGACTTGTACAGGAACAATCTACTTACAGTAAGTTCACTGCCCTAGACTATACGAAATTTGAACACGAAGAATTCATCCCAATCAAGTGCCACTCCATTACCCACAACCCATCTGTTCGAAGTAACACCTTGCTCAGGAATAATCCCCCACTATCCAACTTCTCTAAGAACCCTCAACCCACGGAAGATAGATTAACTCTACCGTGCCAAGGTAAATAATCTCCTCTCGATCCAAATTTCACATCCGAGCCTTCACAAATAACCCACAGTAAGATTCCTCGATAAAATTCTCAGTGTTCAGTTGGCATAGTATCTACCAATATATTTTATTCTTGTGAAAACGTAACGTTTTTTTCTTTCTTCTTTTAATACATTTAATTATAAAAAATAGTCAATAGTAATCCAGTAATGGTACACTAGGAAATCAATCAGAATATAATAGGATATAACTGAAGCAGGATAAATAGGTAAAATAATAATTGTAAAGTGTGAAAATAGGAACGCAGGAAAATCGGAAAATGGGGAAAATAGGAAAATAGAAAAAATAGGAAAATAGGAAATTAGGAAAATTGGTAGAACTTTGTGATACAAATACATAAATGCTTTTACATATCCTATATCATCACAGCTTCCAATTAATATGCCTCAAAGTATAATATAGAATAACGCATAATTCTTCGAGCATAGAATTTAGAATTGAATTTCTTCGGAAGCACACGGTAGCACACGAGTTGCCTCTTTATCCTTGGCATCGTCGTGTTATTGATTTAACGTGAGTCCGCCCACGTGAAAGACTGGGCCGTTAATGGCCCCGGGGAAGATTCATTTCTCGCGTGGGACCGCGAGAGCGTCGAAAGCATCGCGAAAATCGAGCCTGGACCGGCAGCTTCCGTCCTCCCCCCAGAAGTTACGTGTACCCATGGTGACTGGTTGCACTGCTGCCCACCGGTAGGAGCGGTCGAACGAAAGGGCAGAGTTCGTGACACGGTTCCGGTAAAAGCTGCGGGGCCGACGACGAAAATTGCGTATTGTCTTCCGTCGATGCTCGAAATACCGGAAAGGTTACTTTGTTGAAGAGTGGGGGCAGATCTCGAGTTATGAGGATGATGATCGGAACAGTAAGTTGATTGATTTCTTAATATACGGGTATAGTGGTCCACGCAATTGTTTCAGAATAACAAAATAAATATACATTTTTTTTTTCTACCACAAGTCGTAATTTTAATCAACTGTTAATGGGTTAAGCGAACAATTAATTGCAGTATAACGCGTACGAAGATTTCTTGATAATTCCACGGTTCATGATTTACCTGATAAATTCAGATCGACACCGGAGACTGGGCGGCGTCACGTTGGGAAATGTTATAGAAACGTGAGTTGGCGACGTGACGCCAACGCAAGACTTTCATGATAATTAAACGAACGACGTCGTTGTTTCAGGGAAAGGTCTTAACCTGCGGGGGGAAAGGTCAGCCGTATTTACGTATGAAATATCTGTCGGCCAGGTGAATCAAATATACCGTTCCGAGTTGATATTAACCTTTCGTTTCCCAGAAACTTCTACCATCGAAAGACAGTCGACATTGAAAGTTTTTCTTCTTGGAAGAGAAGGGAGCGTCTATGGGGAAAAAAAGTCTGGTTCATCGATTCAACGAACTTTCGACATTTTTACTTCCTAACGAGCTTTTTAACAGGTTCATTATCGAGATATTATCCAATAGTATACAGGGTGAGTCACCTAACGTTTGCACCTCAAATATCGTTGTTGTTTTTGAAGATACGTCAAATGTCTTAAGAACAATGTTGAATGGTTCAATGGGGCCCACACAATGTCAAAACATTTTGGTTTTTATGTCATTTTTTTTAAAGATATCAAGGTTACCTTAACTTTTTGGAATGGAACCATTCTTCTTTCCGTGACCTTGAATGACCTTGATTAATTATAGTCACTGAATTTCTAATGAAAGGGACTATCATTGTAGGCGTTTGAAAAAGCCTGCTACAGGAAATTTCCATTCTCTTCTTTCTTTTTTTTTCTTCTTTTTTAAAGGCAACTAGGAGAGTGGTTCACCTGGTACCGAGCCTTTACGCGTTCAATCGGCTTATATAATCGGATTAATATATCGATCGAGAGGGCTGGCCGGCCGGTTATCGTCGTTATTCAATTACGTATCGAAGCGAACGCGAAAGAGAAATGCTCACTGGAGAGATGGTTTGTTTATTAATCGAGGGATATGAGGCGGATCGTGCTCGACCAGAACGCATTCAATTTGTAATCGAACGTAGGAAATAGAGAGGGATAAGTAATCGAAGCGATATAATTATGGCAAATTAAATATTAATTCCAGTGGTACCTACAGTGGATAGGGGCAATTTTGGATGTGGTCACAGTTTTGTCATTCTGTTTTTTGACATTTGTCACGTACAAGGTCCACAGTTTATTATAATGTCTTCAATTTCAATCGAAAATCGCATAAAAATAATTAAAATCCATTATGAAAATGATGGATCTGTGAAAACTACATATCGCAAAATTTTTTAATCAATGAATTTTATACTTCGGTGGAAACGAGACAAAGCAAGTAATGGTATCATTAATTGTAGACTATAGTATACTCGAATTAAAAACTATAGTGCTCGAAATGGACGGAATACAAATATCAGTAACAAAAGTTACAAAGAATGTAGACAATACCGATGGAAACGATGAAAATTAGTTAAGGCACAAAAGTTGGCAAAGTCGGCGAAGAAAAAATCGACAGCCTTTTAACGTACCAGAACAAACTCTTCTTCGAGTATCGATTCCAGACAGCACTCACGTGCAGCCCGCATACGGAGGAACTTTATCGGAGGTTTAAAAATGGGTCGGTCTCATTTAAAAAATATTCACATACAAGCGTTCTAATATTAGAATCGTTGGAGATCCTGTTACGTTGACCGTACGGTCGTTGAAAATATTTTGTTGCACAGCATATTTTATTTAACGGGAAAGTTTAGTTGTTTTTGCGCAGGTTTATGCAAAAGCTCCCATCAAATCGACATATTCTGAAATTTTCTGCTCTGTTAATCTAGAAAATTGTTCAGATATTCAGTTAGGCTTTGTTCCAAGCGAATTTTTTACAAGGGTTATTTTACTTAGATGTATAATATTATTTATAATAATTTATCGATTGACTATAATTAACTACTTCCCTTTATTTCGAATTGTACCTGAAGATCGTCTGACTAAAACAGAATCGATCTACTTGGATAGAATTCTCGACTAATTTTGGTAACATTGGGTTACAACTTGGTTGGATACAATAATTTCGGCAAAATTTTTGCAAATTCTTTAGCAATAAAACATTATTGTTTCTCAATTTTCATTTTTTCTACACGGGTATGAAATAATTAATTTGACAGAATGTTCCAACGTAGATTTATGATTTCAGCAGTAACTATGAATGGCTGACCAAATTAGGAATAATCTACTTGCATGGTATCGCAAGACCATCGTGCTAAATCCATTTCATTAAAGGTCAACTGTTTGGTAATTGAACTTTGTCCGACTAATTCCAGGACAATCTACTTTTGGTTGGTACTTATTTCAGCCATTTTTCCTTTTAAAATGGTACAAGTTCATTTTTCCTTATCACGAAATATTTAATGCTTCCGCTCTATTTAAAAATATTGTTAAATTAATACACAGCCTGGTTGCTCGAATGACTATTTGACCAAATAAGATTTCGTCTGACCAATTCGGGGACATACTACTAGCGAAAAATTTTTGGGCAGTACAACTTTCCATCGGCACAAGCCGTGAAACATTGCTGCAAATGTACACGGCATTGATTATCTAAATATAGAAACAGCGAGTAGGGACGTACAGTCCGGTGTGTTTCGCAATTGATTGCCACCGGTGGGTACGCGTGTGTGTGTGTATGTCCGTAATTAAGCCACCGCGATTCCGCCGACTCGAAAAATATGTTAACGTTCCTGTCCTACTGAGATAACATTGATTTGATTTTATATGTACGACCATTGATGTTCCTTGCTTGTTGTCATTGAGAAAAAATCATCGAAACCTAGACTACCCTCGCAATGATCGCGTGTCGAGGAAACAAGGAAACGTATTAAAATTGTGTAGTACAATATTAACGGAATCCTTCTGTGATTTCGGCCACAGGAACTACGAAATTATTACTAATTATTTCCAAAGAAAAATCGTTTAACGAATCGAAATATAATCAGAAATTGCGAAGCATAATCGCGGATATAGTACAGCTTCCAGAGGATACCAATGCGATTCTCGTCAGATTTAAATCGCAAAACCACAATTTTTCAAGAATCGCTTTCAAAGAAAGCATCCGAAGAAGCCTGAAGACCTCGAAAGTATGGAAGTACGATCAACGGAATACTTTTTCTCGAACTCGAGGATCGTTCCTTCTTGAGGAACGATCGAGGATACAATAAAGATTCCAGAGGACAACAATACGATTCTCTAGATTCAAATCACAGAAATACAAGTATTCAGGAATTACTTCCAAAGAACCAATCCAAATTCCCAAAGAAAACAAAATCCAAGATCCAAAGTACTTCGAAAATACAGCACCACGATCGATGGAATATTTTTTCTTGAACTCGAGGATCGATTGCCCAATCCGTGGCTGTTCCCCTATTGTTCGCTATCGTTCGATCGTGAAAAGGGGAGGGGGGGGGTGCACATCTAGGGCCCCCAGGAATTCAATCGTACGCAATTTCATCGTCCGAACGAAATCGCCTCGGTGGTTCGCTTTAAGCTTCGCTGCACTTTATTGGCGATTCTGTCGTGTGTCGCGGACTGGCTGTGTAAAAGGGGAATCGATTGGCGACAAAGGCCTAGGAAATTGCGTCTTAAAATCCGCCAGCTTCGATCTCAACCGACACGAATGGCTCCTCGAACAAACGTCGAGACCCAGTTCACGATCGAACAGAAAACGTTCAACCTCAGATAATCGAAATATATTCCAAATATTCACCGTGACACATTCTTATTCAACGTTCGAAACGAATATAACTGGATTTCACGTTCGAATATCAAAAATAAAAATCCCACCAGCTGAAAGCTCATTTCCGAAACTAGCGATTCCCCTATTTCCTGCTACCCTCCGGGCACAAAAAGGTTTCACCCTGTTCATTCCTCCCATCGAACACTTTTCCAAATTTTCCATCAAATAGCCCCTTCCTACGAGACAGTTCATGGAACCGGTACAACTTCCGAGATTTCACGCGGGCAACAAAATCAAGGGCCATGATTAAATCCACAAGTTGCGTGCAAAACCACTGAATCCATCGTGAGTCCTCCGAAGTCCATCCGCGAAAATTCCCTTCCCACTGACACACATTCGAGGGCACCGTTCAACGAGCTGGCCGTTCGAACGAATCCCTTCCCCTTTCCCTCGAGTTACGAAACATTCGTAAGAATTTTCAATTTTAAGTAACCGGCGTTCAATTGGGTCTGCTCGGAGCCACGGAACAATCTAGACCCGTCGGACGTTCCATCGTTCTCGGACCGATACACCTGGGACGATTCTATCGAATCCCGTTCGTCCTACCGTCAACGATCCATCGTTTCCTCCAATATTACGCGGTCACTCGCGCGAATACATCGGTTCTTACTCACATGTTCGGTTCGTCGCTCGCTTCTGCTTTCCCCTCGGAGCTAATACAGCTTTTAATTCCCGCTGGCCTGGCAACCCCGTCGGACGACCGCGTACTTTTCACGAGCGACTGTCAGCGACTAGACGGCCGCGGTATTGATAAAATTTCCAGCGGGCGCCGCCGCGCGATATCGCCGCCGTCGCGCGCCCAACGATATCTCGATCGACCTCGAACGGCTTTGAAACCTCGTTCACCGAACTCCCCCGATACCGTATCTTATTGGACCTCGTCTGACTGTCAGGAAACGATTGCCGATTACGTGTACACCGTGATTTTTCATCGAGGAACAGATTCCGTTATTTTACGCGGATTAGAAGATTTTTTCCAGGTTACGCGAGGTCGCTCGAGTCGATGTATCGAAGGTCGATCAGCGAGATGCGAGCGGACAACGGCCCGCATGCGCGGGAGTATTCAGTCAATAAACGGTAGCCAGCCGCAACCCTCATGCGCAAACACACCCTGAGTAGCCAGGTGACAGGGATGTCTCGGTTGATTTTTCGGCCCTGGTCGATGGTTTCCGGGGAAATAGGCCAACGACCGGGGCTGTTGGTGGACACTTTTACAAGGCGGTTTTGTTACTCGGTTCGGTGGATGCTCGATCGTCGAACGGAAGACAGGACGGTTTTTTCCTTGGAGGTTAGGTGACACCTTGGGAGCTGCTAATGGGATTTGAGGATGGATCGATGATCGGTTTTTCATTTCGTTTTGGATAAGGCAGTTGCCCAGTTGGTACAGTCCTGAGAACGCGATTGGAGTACGCGCACGAGCATCCGCATGATATTTTATTTATACTCTTTGGGATTCTCGCCGTGAGACCGAGGGTGTCGTGAACTTCGCTCCGTGAAAATGTCGACGAAGATCGAGGGTGGACAGGGAACGATGGCTGGTTTAAACGGTGAGTCTATCTTTTCCGGGTGGGAAATTGTAGTTTAACCTGCAGGAAATGTTATCGGGAATTCTTTTTACTCAATTCGTTGATCATTTTGTGCGGTTTTTTTTGGTAATCGTAATTGGACTGACTAAGGAAGACTGATTCTACTTAGAGTTATGAATATTGAAATTCACATTTATTCTTCCTCTGGTAGATAGGATCTTCTAATTTATATACTTTTCTACGAATTTTGAACAGAAAATCCATAAAGTAATAAGATCACAAAAGAATCTTTAAGTTGCGTGTGCTTGTCCAATAAGATTTTGCCGCGTGTACCATTGCTTTTTGTGTTCCTCCCGGCACAAATCATTTGTTCTCCAAAAATGATTGCCGCTTATAACTTAGTCTCTTACGGCCTCAACGGCAAGTATCATCGAAGCATTAATTGCATACTAAAAACTCGTCCAAGATCAAGAATTCTCCAGTAATTATTTAATTATTAATTTTCTATGTCGGTATAATTGCAAGAAATATATATGTATATAGTTGACGCTGTGCTCTCGAGATGGCGCCACACGTACAATTCAAGGTACACACAATTTGGCGTCTGTTTTGAAAATTCAAGTCGCAATAAACGTCAAAGGTGAATGATTGCGATATTGCCTCTTGAATCGGAGATTACGTTTAACCGCGAAAACAACTCGTTTCTATCGCAAACAAGTGCAAAAACTGTCACGATAAGTGTGACGTCACCGGTACCGCCATCTTTATCATGTGTCATGTACTGTTGTCGTAAAAGTGTGTTCGTCATCTCCGCAAAGTTTGGAATACCTGTCATTATTTATAAATAAATCACACCCTCGCCTGCATTCTCTGCGGATCTTTTAGTTTCACGTGAGTGCATTAACCCTTTTCGTTGTGTTTAAAAAACAAACGGTAACGTATTATACTTGGAAGGCTGTCTAGAAGGACGGTGAACGGGACATATGTAGATTAGTATGCCGCCTTATGTTTTCTCCGTAATAATGACACTTTTACATTAAAATAGCGTTTACTAAACGCAATAAGACAGTATCGTTATATCGTGTGAGATTTAAATGAAAGAAATTCATTGCTCGAAAGTTTCTATACGTTTTGAGGTTATGGGTGTGTACGGTAATTATTAGCATGTACTAGCTAATCCTCTTATAATAGACCGCAGATGTTTATGCAGATATGGATATTTCGGTGCCCGTTTACAAAAACTGGAGTTAAATTTCGCTTTTCTTTTTATGTAAACAGAGGGTCTGACAGGCTCCAATTCCACTGATTCCAATTCTCTAATTACACTGAATATTAAATGATTGTACATTATGTGAATATATAGAATCTGCGGTGTCTGTGTAACATTTTATTCTAGTTCAATAAAATCTATACTATAGTACTGTGTTGTATGATATTAACAGTTTAAACTAAAAGAAGATTTAACAAAGGTACTTGTTAAATCAGGAGCCTAAGTTTATAGTTATTAGTTTATTTTTACATTTAATTGTATCATGACTAGACTGTCATAGTTTACAGAGTATGATAAAAGAATTAACCTTTCATGGATTAATCTAACCTTATCATATTTTAATGATTACAGTAACATGGAAGGCAGTGGTAACTCTGGGGAAGCAGACATGGGTGGTCCTCGTGCACCGCAACAAGCAGCATCCGCGAAAAAGCTGCAACAAACACAAGCGACTGTTGAAGAGGTCGTGGGGATAATGAAAGTGAATGTGGAGAAAGTACTGGAAAGGGATCAGAAACTCTCGGAGTTAGAGAATCGCGCGGATGTGTTGCAACAGGGAGCGACACAGTTTGAACAGCAAGCTGGGAAACTAAAAAGGAAGTACTGGTGGAAGAATCTCAAGATGATGATAATTATTGGCATCATTTGTGTGATCATATTGATCATCATCATTGGTGAGTGACTGAATAAAGTAACTAAACTGTGGGCTTTATGTATCTATAGATGGTCTAATATTTTGTACAGTAACAGAATAACATAGTCTAAAAAGATTTTCGTCTTATTTAAAGGCTTAGAAAACTCTTAATAGAGCAACTAAATTTCTGATTGATTTCAGTCTCGATAAATTAATTTGAACACTATAGTTATATGACCAGCCACAGTCATGCAAGACATAATTTTAAAGATTGAATTGAATGCTTATGTTCTTTAATCTTTACAATAGCCTCACTAGTGCCTGGCTCATCGGATTCCGATAATCCCTCTTCTAACTGATAACATTATACCAAAGGGGATATAATGCTTGGCCCGTTAATTCTTATCTAAGAAAGTTAGCAACGGCGATGTAAGTGTTGGGGAAAACGATGTTTAGATGTACTGCGATTATTAATCGTCACGATTTGAAGTCTTGTTGAGAACAATCATGGTACCAGCAACAAATATATAGACATATATTTTTGAGACTTAAACTTATTCGAACGCACAATTTCTAGACTAACGACAGTATGAATACGGGTGGTCTTTATTTCTTCTCTTTTCTCTTTTTTTTTTCTGGTAAAACAGTGAACAGACAATACATTTTCATAGTGTTATCTTGTTAAAATGCTTATTGTACATTTATTAACGATATATAATATATAATATAACGTTTATACTTTTTTCCAACGGTCTTACAGTGATTCAGGCTTCCATTTCAATCTAGTTCCTTGTCCAGGTCCAACACTGTCCAACAATTCGATTCCAATCAGAATAATTCTAGTTTAAATTATATCGTACACTCTAGCGTTAAGTTTTCGCTGTTAGTTTGTCCAGCATGTTTGAATAAAGATTGGTTAATTATATTAATTCTCGTTCAGTTTCTGCATCTTTGCAAGTTTGTTTGCCATCAGAAAACGATCTTTTCTTAACAGTTCTTTATTCGTAGGAATTAACGTAGCAAAATCTGTCAATAGACTTTTAGATGATAAATTGTTACTTGGAATATAGCTTCCACATGGTTCTCGAATTTTTCCTGTTAATTCGTTCCATCGACATTTTTTACAAAGTACGTAGTCGTTATTTTTTTTTTCTAAATGAGATTCTACTGCTTTTTGTTCAGCTTTACAATGTGACTATTCCATTTGAATATGCAAAGAAGAGTCGATCATTGCACAAGGTGATTCACAGAAACCACCGAGATAAGTCGTATTTCAATTTTTAGAAAGGATAAGGAAAAAGTTCAATCGTACACGAAGCTTTATTTATCTGCTACCTTACAATTCACGCAGAAACATTCCTAATACGTAATTGTACTGTTACATGTATCTTTCTCGAATGCGTCAATTGCATTCACGAGGTACTAAAAAACGAAACAAATTAAAATTTGAAGAAGACACTTTCCTCCTCTATTGTCGTAATCTTCCTCCATCTTCAATCGAAATTTTTCAAATAACTAATCGAGTTCTCATTTGATTGACAAATTTTTCAAATAACTAATCAAGTGTCAAATAATGTCATCTCGATCCTCCTGACACATTTTTAATTTTTTCAATTTTGTTCATAAACCAAACAATAGGATCGCGGGATTTTATCGAGACACTGCATCTTTCTCGTTCCGAAGTCCGTCGAGATTGCTTTGCTCAGAACGTTCACGGTCATAAATATTCATGGACCCAGGCGCGAATACCGTCATACATCTCGTGATCATAACGACACCGTTTGGTCCTCGTTTTACCATTTCCATTTTGCAATTATTTGCCGCAGAACCATTTCACTCGTCGTAACATTAATCCAACCGTGTACTATCGTTCGTCCCTTCGAATTTCTCGAAAAAAGATCATCCATTCGTGTTTGCAGTAAGTGTTCGCTCGGTGGGCATTAAATGGCCATTTTGCAATTACGGTGAATGATCAAATTCATCGAGTCACCTGCATAAATTGACGATTTTAACTATACTTTTTTTTTTTTCACAGTTACATAAACTTACTTTGATTTTTTTGTATATTTTTAACGCGTAATTGTTAATTCAAAATTACCCAGTGCAAAAACCTTGATATCGTGATTTTATACCTACACGAGCACAGAAAAACATATTTTTTTCATACTGTGGCTCTAATAATTTGATCACACACTGTTACTGCAGAATTGGAATATTATAGGCACTGATTTAATAAAAACGGCAGATAATGAACGAATATAATTAACAAAGTCCTCTAGTTCAATAAACATGCGTGCTCAAGGGATTTTCAAGATCACATTTACCCCGCGGAAGGAATTAAGGTAAGAAAAGTTGGAATTTACGGTGTACCATTCCTGTTTACAGACTCCACTCGATTATTGTCCCGAACTCGGGTCCGTGCCGGGACAATAATCGTATAGGGAGAACCGAGAAATGCTTCAGACCCTCGTAAATTCGCTTTTTCCCCAAAGCCCTCGGCAACAAAAGTGGAGTGATAACAATAGTGATAACACCTGGACAATAATCGTGTAAACCAGGGGTGTCAAACTCGTTTCCATCACGGGCCATTTGTCTCACAAGTAGAATTCACGTAGACCGCACAATATGTATTTATATTATTTAGTTATTTACATTTTTTAATTTCACAGTTTAACCGAACAGCCATACTAGAGGTCTCGCTATGTATTATATAAAAAAAAATTTCAATTGCTTACATTTTGACAATATTTTCAATTGGTATGAAATATAATAATATTTATTTCCACGGGACAAAGTCCATTAATTTACAAAAAGATTATAAGAAATATAAGTCGTCCACTAGTTTGACACCCTTGGTCAAGCCAGACAATAATCAAGAGGTGTCTGTATAAGAGGATTCGCCAAGAAAATGGTCCCAGACGCGCCATTTTAATGGCGGTTCGCGAGCCAGGAACTGGGACGATTTGTTCGCGATCCAAGTTCGAAGCCTCGATCGTTCGAACCGTGTCCTCCCCGCGAAATGTCACGAGCGCGATACGAAATTAGTGTTGTGGTCGAGGCCCAATTAGCGTATCCGTAGACAGCTCGTCGAATGGTACCTACCGGAAGATGCTTGGCGAACGCTTGAAAAGAAGAGAAAAAAGATAAAGGAACGAAGCTAGTTTGACGACCACGATCTCGATATACGTGATCGACGAACCACATTCAACGCGTGAAACTTTCTGTTTGTTTTCGCCTTTTTTAAAAATATAATCCTCGTTTATTGCAACGAACCTGTTAGCACGTTGACTGCCACAGTGGAAAAGGTCGTCAGTAGTCAGACACGCTTTATTTCGTTTCTTAATCAATCGTCGAGTGTACAGGGTGTCACGTAAGTGTCGTAATGAAATTTTAAGACTTTCCTTAAATTTTCACAAAAAATTCTGTTAAACAATAGTTAAACTATATTTAAGTGTGCATAACTGTTGTAAATCGGAGTTTCTTTGGCTGCATTTTGTTTCGGGGAAATGAATGTTACTATACTAACCAGCACCATTTTCACTGGTTTGATAGTTCAAGAGTCTACAATTCTAAGTAACATCTAATGGTAAAAAACATATGAAATAAACGATCGATCGGACGATTCTAATAGAAAATCTCGACATACAATTTTTCATTTTTCGAACACGACATCGCAACGAACTTCTTACGGAGAATCTATATGAGAGTCTTCTTCCTTCGCCAGAGACAAGAAAGATTACCAATTATCTGGCCCCGATATTTATCATCGAATGGATCACGTTTTGTTTTACGATCATCCCGTCGATCGCGGCCGGGACAGAGAGGGGCGGGGGGGGGGGGGGCATTTCCTGTAAACCGTGGCAGAAATCTCGGTCGCACCATTCATACACCTATCAGTCGGTTGACGACCGTCCGACCGGACAGTCGCTCGTGTCGTTCGTCTCGTGACAGCTCTATCGACTGGGTCAGACGATCAACGGGACACTCGCGAAATCAATACTTGCACGTATGGGACACCGTTGTCCCTTCCACATTGATTCTGAAATGACCAAGGTCGTTGTCAGTGAAAATGTTTCGAGGTTCTCAGTGAAAAGATATCGATGGGACATTCGCGAAATCGATACTTGTACGTACGGGACACCGTTGTCCCTTCGACGACGATTCTGAAACGATCGACTTCAATGAAAATTGTTTCGAACGCGATCGAAGATCTGTGTCGAATGTTGTAGTGGCTGTACGTTCTAGAGTTTTGTCACAGCTGAACGAATCGATCCATTTGTTTGTAAGCGATTTTTCACCGTTTCTGTGGATAGTTTAGGCATATTTGTAAAATTATGAAATTCCACCTTTTACGGGGATGTGTGTTCGGTGATTTCAATGGATCTGTTTTGCTAATAGTGAGTTTGGGGGGACGGTCTTGTTTGTGAGAGAGTAAATAGTTAATGGACTGCGGATTTTCATGTGTTTCTTTGTGAGAGTAGAAGGTTCGTTTCATTCGTTTTGGAGACCATACGAGAAAATGACCAATTATCGAACGGAGTTTATTCTCACGATACTTTGAGTGTAAATTAGTGATGTGGTAATGGTCCCGGTATGTAAATATTTTGTGTCCTTGACAGATGAAATGTAAGTAGATGTCTTCTTTCTCGTGATATTGTTGAAATAGAGGAAAGATAGACGATGAACTCGGTTTAACCCTTTCGTTCCCATTGTTGCCATATGGCCACGTATTTGATATTTATATTTTATATATTCTATATTTATTTGTATACCCGCGCGTATGTAATAGTTTCTTCTAGTTTTCTATAGACGATATGGCACAAATTTGAACGTGCATTTGAAATCTCGTCGGTAAAATAAGACATTATTGGTTCTTTGTCTCTTTCATTTGATGAAATTTCAGTGTCGAGCATTGTTACAAATATATTAGAAACTTACAAAACTGTAATTTCTTTCAAATATGTCAAGAAGGTAAGTCTGAAGATTCCCCGTTCGTTTTCGCGTGTTACCGATAAATAGAAGCCACAAAGAAAAACGGCGCAGTGAAATAGCTAAAATTGTGAAAAGCCATTAAATTGCACAATTACCAATTGGCGAAATTTACCCAACAATTTTCACAGTCCTCTACGATAACCACTCCATTACACACAAGTCCCACGTAAACGAAACATCAATCTCCGTTCAAGTGCACCTAGACACAAAAAAACAAAAACAATAAACACACGCGCCTGCGACTGCCCTAAAAATAGTAGAGTATCGAGATAGAGAGAGAGACGATCCATTTCAGGATCGATGTCTCATTAACAGACAGAACGTCCGTATTTCCCAGCGGGTACACACCACGCTCTCGTCTCTGCGTATCCTCGGGGCGGGGTGGGGCGCTTTTCGCGCGGCTCAGCGTCGAGGGGGCGGGGCGGGGCGAACGGGGGGTGGGGCGAGGCGGTGTAGGGGGAGAGGAAGGGGTTTGTTTTCCTTCACGGCTCACGCCCGCGGCGCTCGGCGTCAGTTCGTCTCCGGAAGCAGTGAAGAGGAGTGAGTGGTGTCTTTCCATCCGGTTCGATCGGGCGATAGTTAGAGCTTGCCTCTCGATCCCTGAAATGTTCGCGATCGGTACCGTGGATGATCGTCAGAGCTGATTGGACAGGCTGGAAGAGAAAAGTCGACGGATACCTTCGGATTCGAGTCGCCGGGCGAGACGGAGGCGGAGAGATCGTCGATCTCGTCCCTCCCCCTCCCTCCCTCCCTCCCCCTCCCCTGTTCCTACCTCCCCCATTCGTCGATGCGTTTTCCAACGCCGATCATCGTGTAACGTTCCCACTCGTAACTTCTCTTATCTGTCCGTTTGTGAATATTAAGAAACCGGCGGTCGGTTCGCGTGGTCGGACCTCGATACAATAATCGTGTCGGTCTTTCTCTCTCTCTCTCTCTCTCTCTAGAGTGTGTGCTCGATAGGATCGACGGAACCGAGCATCTGGCACGTGTGTTTACGTGTGGTTTTTTTAGTCGAAGTTCGAGTGCGTGGTAAATGGGACCGTGGGGGCCTTGTGAGGTTAGAGGAGGAGGAAGAAAGTCCTGGAAGAGGATATAAGAGGATCTGGGATTCAACTTGACTGTCATCGGTTGCTTCTTGATTTTCAACGATCGTTTTGGGTGTCGGTTCTGTTTTGTTGTTTTTTTCGTTGGATCCGAGGACCTGAAAATATGGCGTCGTCTGGAAGCGAGGGTGGAGAGGAGTACGGACTGGGGTACCAGAACACTTTGGTGAGTCTTTAGTTTTGGTGTTATATTTCGAGCCTGTGAAAGTGTTGATTGTGTAGGTCAGTGAATATATGGTTTTTCTGATGTTTCGAGAACATTTTGGAAATTGGTTACATATTTGGTGTATTGAGGATATTTCGGTCAGACTTGGGCAAAATGTAATCTAATTACGAAATTTAAATCACGGTCATAATGTAATTCCAGTGTAGTTGCAAGACAATTATAATTATATTGTAGTTCACTATACTAGATTTATAATAAAAATTAACTGTACTTGTAAAACTACAATGTAATTGTAATGGTAATTGCAACTTAGATTTTGTAATTAGATTACGTTTTTCCCAACCCTGATTTGGGTGCACAGTGTATTAAGAAATGACGGGTTCGATTATAATTATGGTCGTAACTCATGAACAAATGTATCAATTAACCTCTTCAGGGGCAAATTATTAAGACCGGAAAAAAATTTCTAATTTTCTTTCGACACGATATTTTTAAATAATGTTTAAGATAGAAATATGTTAGTTATAAGTGCCTGATACTCTGAAAATTTCAGACTCATCGATAAGTTCGTTTATGAGTTACGACCAAAACCACCCAAAAATTTTCGATTCAAATAAAAACGAACCACGTATGAAATCCTGTTGAGAAATAATGTTTGAGAAAATTGACTTGCATCGTTAATGCTCTCAACGGCTCGTCTGCAATAAATAAATAAAAAGAGTACGAGTGTCCATTTGTTTGCCTTTACGATGCTTCTGTTCTTTTGTTATTCTAGAATTGATTTTTGTGTTCAGAATAGAAAGCTTCGATGGTCAGAAAAAAATAGTAAGATATTTGGTTATCCAGTCTTCAGTGTTTAAAGTTCCTTTTACACTCAAGTGGACACTCAACCTTTTTCGTATTTACTATCTATTCTGCTGAGTACCTGGGTAGAGAGAATGTGTTTGTTCGAATTCGGGGAATTCGAGTGGCTTTATGTTATCGTTATCGAGAGGACACGATGAAGAAACTTTTCGTTCCAGGTGTGTTTGGGATGTTCTATTTTGTTTTGATTTTACGTTCACTGTTTACGAGGTTCGAATAGAGAGTACACGAACTAGGGATGTTTAAGTTTTGTTTATCGAAAGTTCCCATTATGGTGAGGAATTGTGTGAATTAATTTCGATCTTAATCTGCACCAGAATTAGGAAAAATATAATCTAATTACAAAATCTAAATTGTAATTACAATCTAATTGCAATGTAATTGCATTACTAAATCGTACTTTAACAAATGATTCATACCTTAAGCGTCCAATGAATCTCTTCACGACATAATATAAAGAATATTCAGATCGATTCTAGTGATCTTCAATCATTATTTTCCCAAATATATAAGAATACATGAAATATATATTTAATCCTTTTTCTTTTTCTCTCAATTTTCAACCGAAATATAGAGTTCGAACCCTCGAGGGTCGAGAAATTCTTTGAATTTCTGTAGAGGGACACGTTTTCCGCTGGAACGTCGATCCAGAATAATTGATTATCGGTTAGTGTATCGAAGTGACCGTGGCCGGAGACGATAACGAAAGCGGCGAGAGGAGACGCGAAGGCAAGGGTTGCAAGCCTATTTTCATGTTTATTCTTGGCGGCGCGGTGCGCTAGCTAGGCCACGAATAGGAACGAAAAGCAGCAAGTAGGAGCTAGCGGGAATGAATAAGAACGCATGCGAGCAAGTAGGAATGAAAAGGAACGAAAAGATGTGTATAGGAAAGAATAGGAAGGAATATGACAGAAATATGAAGGAATAGGAAGGAATACGAACGAATAGGAGCCTATAGAAACGAAAAGAATTGAAAAGTAATGAAAAGTAACTAAAAGTAACGAAATGTAATGAAAAGTAACGAATGGCAACGAAAATAGAGTGTATAGGAATGAAAAGGAGCATATAGAAGCGTGTAGGAGCGAATAGAAGCGCGATTTTACGCGTCCTACGAAGAACCGTAGCCACGTGGTTGCGTTGACTTTTACGCGGCTTTCGTACAGACACACTCACACACTTTCCCGCGAGAGTCATTCAGCCGGATCGTCAGCTGATCGCCACACGGGTACACGCGATGATCGACCTCTGCAAATTTATCGGATTACAACCGGCCACGCGGGTTTCGCGTACGGGATCTCTTCTCGGCCGTGCGCGCGAGTGTGTAAATACACGTCGAGTGAATCATTGGCGCGCACGCGCGCCTCCACTTGAGCCTGGTCTACACGATTATAACCGAACATTGTTCCTAGAAGGCGTTAAGAAAAATGTGGGACATTTTCACCACAGGGTGGATTCTAAATGGCGAATTTAGATTTTACATTTTGGACGTGCAACGGGAATGATTCATCCGCGACACGAACAACGACGTTATCCTCTTCACTGGGGGGGTTTCTCTTCTGAAAGCAATCAAAACAGGGTAAAGAGAAGCTTGGCTTCGTGGAAAAAGAAAATAACTTGCCATGAAGCGAAATCGACTATGTCGCACTCATCGAGACATTGCTGTATATGAATGCAAGTTGTAGGTACAGTTACTCTGCATTTGACGAATATACTCGTCATACCTTATTTTTAAATTACGGACACAACTATACATTTCCAAAATAAAATTTTATAGTATTACATATATACGTAGAGCTTTAGCGAAATTATCCTTGAACGTTTAGATGCATAAAATAAATGGTTCACTTCACAAGAGATTCAGATGGAATTATAGACGCGAATAACCACATGGAATGTCTGGAAAGGAATGCATTCATCGTTGCATTCTACTCACGTACTCCAGTATGTATGTCTTCGACCATCAAACGAATCGAAAGTGTAGTTTCATTTCTTTCGAATTACCATACGTAGGTATTTCCTAGAACAGTAGTCCTTACACACTTCATTATCCAACGTTCAATGTGTGATTGGAGCAATAGTTAAAAATTAAATAAGAAAAAGTTAAATGCTTCCGTAATATTTACAGCAGTTACCAGCAATTTAAAGCTTTAAAAAAAGGGTGGACATTTTGTTGGGAATATTTTTTTTATTTTAGCGATCACACAAATTGAAATTGGTGTAATCGGATTTTTGGGAAAAAGATTGAGCTGAAAGACGTGTTGGTTACGATTCAATTGTGAATTGTTTTATTGTTATTTGCAAATAATGTACAGACCAGACTTTAAAATATTCGTCTACCGCCTTGGTCGTAAATAGGTGGTCTCTCTAGGTTAAATTATATCGCAGAATCATTTGTTATGAAAGTGGTGCCAGTTCACTTTTCACGAAGGTATATTTAAACGTCAGCTAAACTACGTGGTAAAAGAACTGAATATAATATATAAATTTCCTATAACATATACAAATATATGATGGAAAGTTGAATGTGAACACAAGAAAGTTGGAAATAAACTACCATAGATACAACCAACTAACTTACATTTTTTCGCGTATCGGAATGATCGCAGATCTCTAATCCCACTCTTGGATCCAACGGTGCAATTCTGTAAATGTTTACACGATCAAGATCTGTTTGTCACGCGGGGATTGTCGGGATTTCGAAATTTCCGCGACGAAAAGGAAAGCACAGAGTATTGCGTTCGAATAATACATAGCGAGAAGCCAGCAATATCTGGGATCGTCATCCTGACCTTTAAGCAGTTAATGAGATTAAACGATTGTTCGCCAAGTGTCCACTCAGTCGAATAGTATTATTTTATTACAAAAAAAAAAAGAAAAGACAGGAATTTCCTTAAATAATAAACAATTCAGAGTAAGCATCAACATTTTATTCTCTGGCATTTGGGTACTTTTTTCATTCTTTTTTTCGTTACTCGAACACTTTTTATTCAAACAGAATGAATTTACCTCTGCAACAGAAAGATTGTTGCTCGGAACGACAAACAATACGGTGTTTGTCTATGTTCCGAACAGCCGTCGGTGATTTTGCAACGAAACGAAATTATTGTTGCGTCTGCCAACTCGCCGGGGATTTGCAGACGGTATTATACATATTCGAAGCGTGGACAATAACGGCCTCGAGGCGGCAGACTCGTCACTTTCGAAACAGCTTCTGTGAAATTACAGGGCAGTTTGCCACTTTTCGACCTCCTTCGTCTTCTTTTCTTTCGGCTCGTGGAAAAACCGTATAGTTACACTAGGGGTGGGTGGGTAGGTTTAGGTGAGTTTTCAATTAATTTGTATTATCGATGAAAATGAATTGCATCATTTTTTGTATTAATTGAACAAAAACGTAAGTTTTTATTTGTATTTATTATTTAATACGTAATATTCCTATTTCAATTCTAGGATAATTATTGTTTCTAATGCTTTATGTTAAAATCTTGTTTATGTTTAAAATTATCTTTTTATTCAGTATAAATTTCATATAAATATCTTCTATGGTTCAAATGTTATACAACAATCTCACTGATTTTCTCGATCTGACCCAATGTCCGGCGTGTCGCCTGTAAAACTCCTCCGAGAATGTTTTCCCGCGCGTTTCGTGGTTCATTCATCCCCGCCGTGTATTACGCATCCCGTACTACGGTTCATTCACGACCGCGCTATCAATGGGCTACCTTCGCGCCACGGTTCCCCATTAACGGGACGTAAGTCAGGTGATGTTTCACAGATTTTCAGAAACAATTTTACGTGTTCTTTAACCTAAAGATCGTTTCAGTTATAACATAATATTATGTACCATCTCTTTCATTGAAAAAAATTATTTTATACATTAAATATGATGAATTAACTAATAAGTAATTAAAATCTGCGAGTAGTCCTCAGTGGTCCAACAAATGTCACCTCAAAAATTAAAGTAATTTTTATATACTTTGACAATTCGTTTCTGAAATTTAATTTGATTAAAAAGAAAAATGGACACCAGTATTAATGGGAATGAAACTAGTTTCCTCTAGGTACGTATTTAATTAGTCTTACAAAGGAGCTATTGATAGATTGGTTCACGCGTTGATTATCAGACCGGTTTCAAGAGACGTCGTTTTGAGACACCAAGCCACGTTCCATCGATCGTGTCCGCAGGATTTTCCCATTTTACCTAGAAAACCTCGAGGGTAAACGATGCTGATCACGAGTCGATGATGTCATCTGATTAGCGCCGATTAACGTTCGAACGCTCGTCTCGAAGCGCGCCTTCGAGGTCCGCGCATCGATCGGTCTCGATCCGCGATTTTTCCAGGGCTATATCCACGCGATGTGACGCGAAGCAACGCAGCTTTGCTCTATCGTTCTTGTTCCTCCTCCCCGCTTCTAGTCGATCTGTGTTAGGTAACGTAACACGATCGAATATTAATGACGTAATCACGTAACGACAGACGCTTTTCCGATCGCCGACGCGCGTTCCGTTGACGCGAGACGGAGGAGAGGAGGAGTATCGTCGAAAGATCGTTTCGATCTGGATTATGCAATAGCTTTTCCTTATTTTTTTTTTATTAATGCTATTGTAGTACTAATGAAGTACTATAATACTACAATAACATTTACGAATTATAGTACTATAGTATTATATACATTATTCCAGTACTATCTACCGGGAATATTGAAAGCGACTTTGTAACGAATTCGAACATGCAGCCAGATTAGTAGCGGGAAAATGATTAGAAAATTTACGCGGCCAAGTTCATCGGCAGTCGGTATATCACCTGCTTTGTTATGCCAGTCGATTGTCAATATTTGTGTTCCGGTTATACATGTACACGCGAGGTCGTAACGTGTAAACGTTCCCGCATACAAGGTGTTTTTAAAATAAACGATCAGACGTCAGGTGAAAAAAAAAAACCTAAATTATCATCGAAACGATTAATTTCCCAATGTGTCAGGTGACGTTCAATAAAACATTTTTTGTTTTGCTTTCTCTTATTAGAGGGTTCTATTTACCTGACACAATTTATACCTATTCTCTGACAAAACGCTGCAGGAACATTTGCTCTCATATTGACTCAAGGAGCATAAATTTCCTGTAATTTCCATACAAATCATTTAATTTCATCTTCGTTTTGTGGACGATCGAAGTTTCTCATTATCGTCGAATAACCGTGCTGGAATGGCTTCTAAACGACGATAGGAAGTGGCGATCTTCCGCCGTTATCGTCTTCGTTCCCGTCGTTCACGCGTACAAGGCCGCCGCGCTGATACAACTGTCAAACTAATCGCGGCCGATAATTAGACTTGTACATTTCGCTTTCGTGCGAGACCGACCCTCGAATAACGTCGACGGTTTGACTATCGTAGAAATACTGAGAAATGTTTAAACGTGTGAAAGTCAACGTTTCAACACTACTGTATTATAAAGAACAGAAGTTTGTTAGTTTGTTTATAATACTACTTTTTTTTACTGAAACCGATTTCAATGAAACTTTCACTTAAAATACAGGCTACACTTTATCTCAATTGGGTCGAGTTATGAACAGAAGTTCAAAACCAAGTTATTCAGAAACTTACTAACCCTCGAACTGACGAAAAATTATTTAAACATAGTACGAAATCCATAATTTTGTGATGTTTATTTTGCAAAAAATTACCAACTCATAGAACAACTTTTATATCATACAGTAAAGGCTCCATTAGAGTTGTTCAAAAACGAAAATTCTCCTCCTTTCGATCTACATCTATCCCTCGATTCAAAATTAAAAAAAGACCATCGATATTCCTCAGCGAAGCAAAGAAAATTTTTTTTTTGAATTCTTCTTTCTTCATAAACGAAAATTCCCTCTTTTCGATCTTCCTCTATTCCTCAAATCGAAATAAAAATAGGAGACCATTTATATTCTTCAACGAAGTAAGAATTCAATCACAAATTCGATTTCCCAATCACGATCGATCGAAAAACGCTGTTCTCAGCTGAAAATCGTGGAATGCGCAGGTACACACAATCGAAGGTGATCCATTTTTCAGGAAGCTAGTCGAAGCAGAATCCGACTGACATACGACGGTCGTCACTCAACACCTCGCGGCTCGGATTTTCCTAACCGAGAAACGCAGAAACGTGAGATCTCCGTACGATTTCTCGGTTTGGTTGTCCGAATTTGTGGACGTTAAAAAACCTGAAAAAAAAAGAAAAGAAACGAAGAAAACGAGAACGTCGGAATATTCGCGACTTATATATGGAATTTAATTTAATTCTTACACTATGAATCCTTCTTACAATATATTAAAGCAAACAATGGAATAGTTTGAAATTATTTATTTTATTACGTAGTATTCACTTATAAGTAGACTGAAGATCAAACGAATTTTTTTAATTTACTCTGAACCCAATACGATACTTAAGAGAACAAAGAAATTTCTACATTTGCTATTTCAACAATCTTCTTATTTATCTAGCATAGTTTAGTACGCGACAATCGCAATAGAAAAGTGGACAGCAAATCATTAGGTAAATGCACGGTAAATTTGTTTTTTAAAATCACTCGGTGAATTTGATAAAAGATCAACTCGACTATTGTTGAAATTTGTGGTGTTGAAAATTCTGGCAATAGAATCAGTTCAAAGAAACCCAGGAGAGTATGACGGAATGCAGCAGACACACAGAAACGCAGATGATACGTATAGTCGATTCTCGATTTTTCTGCGGCCGGATTAGCCGGTTTGCCTTGCAACTTCTATCGTAACGCAGACCACTCCGTTTCCACCTGTGTCTCCGTTACGGTTTCAATAATTTAGTAAGACGGTTTATGACACTCTTTGTGTGTCTTCGCCGGATGCTTAATTGATTTTCGAGCGATCGATAAATCGCCTCGTGTAATAACCTGTCGATCAAACCATCTTATGGATCGATAAGGTTCGTCGATAAGCTTCAACCGTTTCCCGACGTAATATCCCTTTGACTGCTTTAGCAACTAATCAAATAATCGTTTATAAAATTACATTGCTCTTTCACAACGAAACGGAATCGATAAATTCGAAGTGAGTTAATCAATGGATTAAACACACGCGTTTACTATCTAGTAACAAGACGATTTGATTTTAATATGTGCTCAAAATATTTCAATAGTATTCTGAGTATCGACAGAATCGCATACTTAATTTTTTTTGTACGTCCCATACTGAAGTAAAAATGTTTCTTCGTACATCATAAATTTATAGAATCTCAACATACTACTCATTATCCGATTATTCCAAATACTACTCGCATCCAACTACTTCAGACACTACTCACTCGCGACTACTCCAGATGCTAGTAATTATTCAACTACTTCAAATATTATTCACATCTACCTACTCAAAATACTACTCACGTTCAACTACTTGGAGTCTCTACAAAATAGTCTAAGAATTACTTACTCTTCGATCATGGAATTCTAATGGGCAACTGGACGGTTGGCGTGCGAATGAAGTTCAATCTGAAATAAAAGAAACGATTGTTTTTCGTTCACGAATCAGCTCCAAACCAACGAACCTCGAGATCCCGTATCTCTGATTCTCAGCGATGTTTACTCGATATACGAGGCGAAGATTTATGATTTTATACATTGGTGCCGTGACGACGATTATTAGCAGGGTCACCGTAGAGGTATTTGCTTTCGGGTGAGAATATTTGACTAGACGTTGGGCTACTGTTGACAGTCGTTGGGCTATCATCTTCGTGTAACCACGGTCTCTATCTCTCTCTCCGTTGTGCAGACGCGATTTTGAAGTCTGTAATTGCGTTGCTGAAGATACCGTCGGTTTTATCAGCGCGAAAATAGAGCTACGTCATCCTTTAACCCAGAAACAGTCGATGGAGGAACGAAACCAGACAAGGGAGGGGGGCAACAGACCACGATTAAATCGTTCCTTCTCTGCGTGTGCTGAATTAAATAATATTCGAAATGAATTCTTTGCAGCGGGAACTAGGAATCCTGGAAAGAAATTTTAATCGTTTTTCTGTTCGATAATTCGAGGTAACGGTACCCTCAGAATGTACTTTGGACTATCGAGCTTGGTATTTCGAAATGCACACGGAATTTCTATTAATATTTGAGAGATTACAGAGGACTCTTGAAAGAAAGTCTTGCTATTTTTGTAATGTCGATGGATACTCTTGTAAATATAGATTCAGATATGTTGGTGTGATTAAATTGTAGATAATCAAGGGAAAAACGGTTTTTATATTTTTTTTGCAGATAAGGGTTTTAATTCGTTGATAGTTTCGAATGGTGAGTTGAAGTATCGAGCTTAGTGTTTTCTGAGAGACTATTGGGTTTTTATCAGTACGTCCAGTGTGTTACTGGATTGATTCGTTAGTAGAAAACATCATTAGTAGAAATACTAAGTTTCGAAGAATTCACCATTATCTTGGTCACCATAAAAGTTTCAGCTCAAAGAACGGAATGGACTTTATCTGAAACATTGAATAACAAATCAAATCTAACCTAAGACTCGAGTTATTCCGTCGTTAGGGAAAGCTTCCAGTAACCAAGAATCGCGTAAACACCGTGTTCCTGATACTTAAAATCTCCGAGTTTGACGTCAATCGCGTGTAATAGTTCTCAGAGACGCAAGAAAGATTCCTTCTATCGCGAAAAGTCCCGTGCTCACTGGCTAGGCAACAATCTTTCCCCGTTTATAAAAATCAACATTTCCTCGCGAATTATACAATTCCGTCGGTTCACGATACTTTCATCCACGAAACGGGCAATTTAGACGGTACGCGAAAAGATTCCACGAAGAAAGTTTGCAAAACGACGATTCGAATGTTCGAATTTCCCGCCAAGCGACGTCAGCCAGTCTGACCACTATCAAGCGACCAGACGGTCGATAACAATCAGTGTTCTCGCAGCAGCTGCCAATATTTCATCTCGTCGTTCCGCGTGACTCGCTCTGTGATCCATAGATCGCTCGATCACGCGACCATATTCCTGATATTACGAACGCAACAGTATCACCGATCGACACTTTACACTGAATAGGAATATAATTCGACGACGAACTGACAATCAGAAATTAGACGTCAAGACTGGGACGCCTGAAATTCGTTGTTCAAAGTTACGCAATATTACCAATCGGACAGGTCTACGAAACCATCGACCTGGTGGGAAATTCAAACGGTCCTTCGACCAATTCGCTTCATACTGACTGAAAAAAGACATCAAGAAAAGATTTTTAATAGAACAAGTGGAATATCTTGGGAGATCTTGGCGGGAAATTCAAACGATTCTTAGTCCAATTAACATCGAACAGAAGAAGATATCAAGTACAAGATTCTTGACAGAAAAATCGAAATCTATTAAAAAAAATCTTGCCAGGAAATTCAAACGGTGCTTACACCGATTCACCTCAAACAGAAGAAGTTATCGAAACAAGATTCTCAACAGAAAAATTGGAATCTAATAAATCTGGGCAGTAAATTGAAACTGTGTTTACTCCAATTCCAACAGACACTAAAAAAGACGTCAAGACGAGCATTCCCGATAAAACAATCGTGTAAACGAGGACCACCATAAAGATCCACGATCTCGAGTCGTTGGTTCGACGCAGAAGGAAAAAAAAAAAAAGAAGAACGAAAACATATGGTTACACGTTATTCGCGATAACGAGTTCGATAACGGGCCGATAACCTGGCTTAATCCTCCCTCTCTCTTGCGGCGTATCGTTGCGGCAACGGTAGATCGCGCTGGATGGTCCAGAATCGAGGCGACGAGTTCATCGCGATAGGGGATCAGGGTGAGTAGGATCGTGGTGATATAATATTTGAGATCCAGGGTTTGCTCCATGGCCAGACGTCTTTTGACCGCGACCAAGCTCGTGTCGAGATCATCGATCGGAGTCGGAACGATCCATAGAACGATGGCTTCGTGTGGTACCAGCCAGGTGGTCCCCAAGGAGGAGGTGGTTAGGTTCGTACGAGAATGCTTGCGCAAGGCTGGGACCAGCGAAAAGGATGGCCAAACGGTCGGCCATCATCTGATGACCGCTGACTATAGCGGCCACTTTAGCCACGGGATGAACAGGCTCAGGATGTACGTGCAGGATCTGGAGACCAAGATCACCGATGCTCACGCGAAACCACGGATCGTCAACGATTTTCAGGTATTGGGCGATCGTCCTGTCGACTGGTACACCCTTTGTGTCCCAAGCTTTCTTAACGGGTTACGCCTACCTGCGAACTTGAACAATGACTAATCCAAATACCACTCACATTCGATTGCTCCAGAAAAAAATCGTTCATTTTTGATGTATAAAATAAAAACTACGAAATGAAATAGAAACAGCCACGCTCAGGCACTATACTTTTATGTATAGAACAAGTCTACCAATGCTGAATCAGTTCGGTGCAGGGGTTCTCGAGATATTTTGGTCACTGATTTTGAAAATGTGGTTTTGAGAAAGACACGTTTAAAGTTTCAAGTCAGCTTTACAACACGAGATTTTCGATCAATAAGCATTATTTCTTATTTTTCATTCTTCTTCTCCTCATCTCGATACATTAATAATTTATTCGGAAAAATTCGCGTTTCTGCCTCGAGGTTCTAGATAATCGTCTCGAGCAAGTCCTTAGTGTCCTCTCAGAAACACTTCACACCCGCAGAATCTTCATAACCTTTTATTTACTCTGAATTTATCACCATCAAATATTACATCTGTACAATTTCTCGTCTCGACAGATTATTCCACTTATCCACACGCCTCGTCTGTTCTTTATTTTATTCTTATAATGTCGTTATTTATTTTATCTTTACTGGAGTCAACATTCCACGTGCAAAAGCCACGTAATCATCAAAAACTTTCCCAGACAGGCTCTTCTCCTCCGATAGATCCTTCCTGAAAGCGCCACGATCGTCCCACTTTCATCCTGACTACGGTAATATTGATACGAAAGAGGCTTTCAAGTATTTGAACCGGTCTACCAAGCGCTGTTCCGTCGTTAATCAGTCATTCGCGGGTCTAATCGCTTCGCAGGCTGAAGAATCAGCCTCTTGAATACATGGACACAGCGATCCAGTCGATCGAAACGCCTCGGTAAAAGAAACGCTTTGAAAATCCGGCTTCTACCGGTTTACTCGTTTGTCGTCGGAACTGGACACACTTCCCTCCATTAAAAATAAATAGAAAAAACAAAGATCGTGGGTCTGAAACACGGAATCGCCGAGTTTGATCAGCTTCGATCGAGGCGTACGATGCTGCGCGAGATCCCGAGAGTCACGTAATTGCTCACATTCATCCACGTTGCCGTTCAGACGGGCTGGATTCGAGACTTTTCTATGGAGGATTGATGGTCTTATTGAAAAAGAAAAAACAGAGGCGGAAGTAGATCCGAATGAATCCGATTAGAAGTTACTTAATCCTGTCTTGATCCTACAACGGATTGATAAATTGTTCGATTAGTATGTGCCACGATCGAGAGCTAGATAATAATGCGTTACAGGAAATATTGGACGCGTGAAAAGGACTAGAAATTATAATAGTAGTTAAACATCTCTGAAATACGGTTAAATCTTCGAAATCGATAGAAAAGTAGGTACTTCGCTAACAGAGTATACCTATGTAGCTAGATAAGGCCATCCCCTAATTTCCGAAAAAGTCTCCAAGATCCCCTGAAAGTTCTAGCCAAACGACACGCCGAGTAAACCGGAAGCAAAGTGGTCCCGTAGCTTCGTCCCTAAAATCTGTGATGTCGGTGATCCGAGAATCACCGTGTGAAGTTGAAACTTCTTCCAGGCGGTAGCGTTGGTCACCGGGGACAACGGTCTCGGCCACGTGGTGGGCAAGTTCTGCATGGAACTGGCGATCGAGAAGGCGAAGAAGTTCGGTATAGGGATGGTCACGGCTAGATCCTCGAACCACTACGGAATCTGCGGCTACTACACTCGAATGGCGATGGACCAGGGCCTGATTGGGTTCACCTGTACGAACACCAGCCCGATGATGGCTGCGACACGCAGTAAAGGAAAGGGATTGGGCACCAATCCTCTGTCTTTGGGGATGACTGCTTCGGACGGGGATCGTTTCCACTTGGACATGGCTACCACAGCTGTGGCCCTGGGCAAGATCGAGCTGGCGATCACAAAAAAGGAGCCAATTCCACCTGGATGGGCGATGGGCAGCGATGGAAAGGTCACCACCGATTCTGAAGACGCGTACAAGACCAGTCTATTGATGCCTCTAGGCGGAGAGGAGCAAACTTCCGGTTACAAAGGATTCGGCCTGGCCTTGATGGTTGAAGTACTCTGCGGTATTCTATCCGGAGGCCAGTTTGGACCTAATGTCAGACAATGGAAGGACAAGAAGAGGGTCGCTGATCTTGGACAATGCTTCATGGCCATTAATCCAGAAGCTTTTGGACCTGGCTCGCAGGAGAGACTGTCCATTTTGTTGAAACAATTGAGAAGCTTGCCTCCGGCGACGGATAAACCGATCCTGGTCGCTGGGGACCCGGAGAGGGCTGCGATGGAACGGGTGGACGAAAACGGAGGGATTTCTTATCATCCTAATCAGCTGAAGGATGCCGAAGAATTCGCGGAACAGATGGGCGTCGAGCCTATGAAAGTCGTCCCTGCGAAGATCCACTAGTGGTCGATAGGTGTTCGTGCTGGGACAGTTTTCAGAGACAGAGGGATGTATGTGGACAGATAACGCTATCCCCTAAATTTCTGAAGGGTTTCATGGTTCTGTTGATATCGTTGCGTTGGTGAACATTTTGAACTATCTTTTACAAAATAGCTCTGTAATACGGTTAGGTCACCGAGATCAGTACAAAGGTAGCTAATTTGCTAACAGGGTATACATGTGTAGATAGATAACGTTATCCCCTAAATTCCTGAAGAATCTCTAAGATTTTTGTCGGCTTCGTTACGTTGTTGAACATTTCGAATTGCTTCTCGAAGCAATTTACAGTAATGATTCGTTACTAGTTCGACCGTGAAACTTCCCTAACGGTTCTTGTGGTCAGTAATCTATTTAGAATTTGGGCATCAAGGATGTTTCTTCCAAGATATTGCCTGATTCACGTCCGTTATCTATTATCGAGGTGCTACTGTATACAGAATTGAATCCATAATATAAGAATTGTATCTTCCACGTAATTAGTTCTGTGCATCTATAATATTAATGGTGTCTACAATATTTCACGTTTACAGTATAATGCATACTAGTGCTATCTACAGTATTGCCTCACTGTATGTACATACATATCTTACTCAAAGGGACACGTGACGTGGGTAGACCAAGTTGTTGTTTCTAAAACCAACATTTAACGAAGCAATACTGTACTAAAGAGCTAGACCAACGACAGAGCACACGTGATCGTCTGAAAAATCGTTGTAAAAGCTTTTCATGACTTACACCGTACCATTTGTGTTCTCTGCTTTCAATACCGACAAATTTATTTATCGTTATTACTTGCGTTAGTTCTTACTGGGAAAATTGGCACAAACCGGAAGGAAAAGAGTGGAGCGATGCTGATCGTTAGCGTGTTGCATTTCGAACTGCATTTCAGTAGTCGTCCGATTTATGTAATGGCATATTATACACGCGTAATCTGTTTATTGTTAGTCCAGGGACATCTGTAGTCGAATCGATCGTTGCGTGTTCGTTAAAATATCAAGACAGTGTGTCATCATTTTTCAATACCACCGAATATACATTATCGCCGAAAAAGAAATTTGGGATTATTTGTGTTAAGCTAAATCTGAATAGTTCAACGATTCATATCGATTGTATTACAATTTTTCTCTGGTTATATTTAATCGATCGATAAAAGTTTCTCGATTTAAAATGTCGAATAAATGATCCGAAATTTTTCGACAATATTTTTACACGTTGAACGAATTTTTTATATTCTCATTTTTATCATGCTCTTCCACGTCTGATGTCACTGTTCTTCACTTCTTGTATCACACAGAAGACACGTAACGCGATTTTCGAGCGAATCAGTCGCTCGGAACTGAAACTGAGCAGCTCTGTGTAAGAAAAAGTAGAGAAGATCGATGATACGGTAGACGTGTCGCGTTTTTAGAAATTCACTCGTAACGTAGTTAACGAACAGGTGTTATTGTCTGAATTATCTAAGGTGTATATTTGATGTTATACAATCATTTAGCTGCTACGCGTTGCCAACATTGATTAATATAAAACGTCACCACAGTGGCTTCTTTTCATACATTATATCGACGCAAGGTACGTCGAGTAACTGGTGATCTAAAAACATTGTATAGTTTTATAAAACGAAATATATGTCATATTAAATTTTAATATTTATTTCGTAACGTTGTTTTACTGCGTGAAACAAACGAACAAATATTAAATGTTTAGTCGTTTTAAACGTTTGAAATATTCGAACTGTTTGAAACAACCGGACGTTGTCCGAATTGTTCGAACATTTGGTCAGAAGGTGAACAGTTCATAAAGAGTACGAACATGTTCGAATGTTTCCTCAGTGGTCGAAACATGTTTGAACAATTTGATTGCCAATCGCTACCCATGAACACCAGTCCCTCCGAGTACACGTTCCCTCTAATAACACGTTCGCTTTCCGATACAGTGTTTACCGGAATGGTGGTTCTCGCGTGCTCGTTTCGCTGATTTAATGGAAATTATGCTCGTGATGACGTAACCTGCGGTCTGATCATCCGTCGATGATGACTGGCCGTTCGACTATGACAGAGGCCTTGGACTTGCTCGTTGAATCGCGATCACGGTCGACGTCGATCACGATTATCGGGAGGGTTCCTCCTGAGATTTCTGCGTAATCAGGACACCAGAGACGATCTATGGATCCCGTAACCACGGGGATCTGTCCACGATTTTATCCGTTAGCGGACCGATAATGAACGAAATATTATCTGTGGATCACATGGAGCTTGAGCAATTGTAGGACACGATCCAAGAAATTCGACGCCGTGCTTATACCATAATCTATAATATATATATATATATATATATATATTGTTCGTTTGCTGCAACAACGACATAACTCAATATTTGCAGTTTTATTGTTTATTAGTACAAAAAGAAAATGATTGTTGTTACTTTTTATCGATTGAATCCTGTTAGTGAGCTTCCAAAACTTACCACGTTAGGATAATTACTTTAACCGTTAGACTGCCAACATTTTTTCATAAAAAAGATTTTCGATAACTGGCGGTATAACAGGAAAGGGGGTGATTCTACATAAAATATAAGTTGTTATTGCATGAAATGAGCGAAATATGAACTTATATTCAGTGACCGTCGCAGGATCATTTATTCGCGGCGCACCTGTCCGAACCAATTATTTCGACGGAGCTGCGCACGATACACCGAGATTAGCCTCGTTAGGCTTAATTGGTGAGAATTATGCCTCGATTGAGGGATTGTCCGTTGTTTCGGCGGACGGATCTGGTTCGGGTCATGATGTAACGAAGTTCTTATGGTAGTGTTTTCCCGTGTCTGGATGGATTGTTCTAATTATTCAGTATTAATTATCGGTACGATGATTCCAGATCTGACAATTGCGTTCGGTATTTTCGGATAGTCGTGATTGATCGTTAAATCGAAATTGAAAATTTTAGTATAACCCTTGTTTCATCGTTCGATCGAATGGTTCTAATAAAATGGGTTTAATATATTCAGGTAGATCGTATAGGTTGTTATTAAATTAACTGAATCGGATGTTAAATGTACAGTAATGTCTCGATAATAGTCGTCGTACGAATAATTTGAATAATACGAAGTATTCGAATAATTCGTGAATAGTCGCCTGTTGGTTTTTGTCAATTCTAGAGATTCCATTTTAGTCAGCAGAACTTTAGAGTTCTTTAAATTTTTCGAAATTCGAGTTGAATGTGACCTATGTGAATCTTCCCCGGTTAAGTGGTCAAACTACGATCACTCTTAACCGGGATACTCGACGATTATCCGACGCAATATTGTTCTCAAAGCAGACAGCGGCTCGATTAGAGGTGGTCGACCAGCCTTTCGTCTGTTTTCACCCACCGCGCTGATCGCTCGGCCGGTAAACAAGGGTTATCATCGTGGACTCGCAGACTTCGTGTCTCTCGTCTTATCAGCAAAATGAGATTCGCTTGGAAAAGAGAACGCGAGACGAGCCACGGATTAATTGATTCGCCGGCGATAACGCTTACTGAAGTCCTTGGTGGTCCGATTGTGTTACGTCACAGCTTAATATTCGGCCCGTAATTATAGATACTCGAGCTGTAAGTATTCGGATATTCAAATAATTCGAATGTTTCGGAGTGTTCACATTGGCCGTTACAATTACTTGTTTTTCAAAACGTTAAATCTGAATCCTCGTCATTCTTCGATGAAGTTAGAAATTTTGGAACGAAAGCAATCATCATTTTCGAATATTCGTAACAACCCTAATACATACTGTGCTACGACGATCCATTAAATTTTGATGTCAACCACAGGTGTGGGGGGATAAAAAGAAATTTGTTTACACTATTAAACGTTCTATCAGATTCGAAATAAAACGAAAATCTCCTTGAAACGACGATCCATCGATCTTACGTCGGACGGAATAACGAGAGAAAATACACGCGTGTTTTGTTCGAGAAACGGTACAGGGGGTTCAAAAGTTATCGGCGGTCGCTTTGTTTGTCGGCCCGTGTTTATCGAAGCACGCCTTCGCTGCCTGTTCGAGATATCTCACGTTGTTTTTCTTCTCTCTCTCGGGATTCCTGATAAGGCTTCCCTTTTGCGTGCGTGGACAATCGTTCTGCTTGGAATGTTCTTTTCTTTTCTTTTCTTTTTATTCCCCTTTATTTCGTAATTTCGTGTGCATAATAACGCACATTTTCATTTGTACACAAGTGAATCATACGTTTGCAGAGCTAGATAAAATTTACAAGCAAAATATAGTGTTCGGTTTACAAAATAATTAGTGGCCCCCCACAATTAATTATTAACTCAAAACTGCTATCATTTTTCCCATTAACCAACTGCCCGAGAAATGACGTGAATGTGTAGAAAGTGATGGAGAATATTTTCAAGACTATTCCAAATTTATTCGTAGCATTCTAATATTGAAGTAGGTATTCGAATTTTATTCGTAGTATTCGAAGAATACTCCCAGCCCTACTTAAAACTGATTAGTGACGGTCGTCGCATTTTTTTCAATGGAGAAACAAATTATTGTTCAGTGATGTTGCAAGCGGTACTGACAACGGTATCCCCGTTAAACTAACGAAGGAAACGTCGTAAATCACGATCGACTGAGAACAGACGTCGTCGATGTTTCCACAACGAGTAGAACACGGATGAAATGTCGGCACGCTGGTTAATCTCTTTAATCGTGTCCCCGTGTGTCGTTAATTACGTTTATCTCGTTAGATCAATCCTTCATGGCACCGTGGCTAGGTGTTCGATCCGATCTAGCCGCGTGGTGCACGCATTCCACTCGAGTGTCCTAGACCCTATTAACCCTTTCACACGAAATTATTTAAAAGCTGGCAAAGAAATATTATTTTGCATTTTCATGAATATTGCATAACATACAAATGATTCGCAAGGACATTTTAATGTCCGTCTCGGGGAACGATCCACACTGAATTGGGATCGAGAAAGTCGAA